CAAAGTGTTACTTAAGCAAGAACATCTTAAGGAAAAGCGATTTAGATAATTAAATGGAACGATAACCTACCGCAGTGCTCTATGATCATCTTTATCAAATTTATTAGGATAAGAAAAAGACCGCTAAGAAGATAAGATACATAGATGAATTCACGTAAGCCCTTCCAGTCAGTCCAGCCTATTTGAGCAAAATCTCTTCGACTCTTTAAGCGTTTCAGCTTGGCTTTCGCATTTGCCAAAAGAGGACTTTTACAGAAAGTTTCTCGATTTTTATGTTTTGTTAAATAATTAGAGCCATTTAAAGGTTCAGAATGGAAAATATTGAAAGCGGCAATTCAAGTGGACAAGCTTCGAGCTTTTTCACAGTCTTCGTATCTTTTCTACATTTACACTACAGCGTTATTAATGATCGAGTACCAAGTCGATGCCACATATGCCAAGGCACTGCGAAGATAACTCCTAGACGCAATTTCTAAAATATAATAGCGACATCCGATCATGACCTAGCTTTGATATCCAACATTTTTCCAATCGTGATGTTCGTATGCTCTCAAACTTTGAGGAATGTGTGAAAAGGGCACGGGAAAGGATTAACCCTTTTAGGACAAAAGCTTTGACTAAGGAAGTTATTAGACATTTGAATAACATATCGTGTGAGTTCAAACAACCAGCTGTAAAGAAAGAGTTCACAAGCTCTTTATTTGAAAAAGTGTAATTATACGTATCTGAGCTCATCATAGTATTGTACGGGTTCGGGGACATCCACACGCCATGATTCGGCGAGATCTCCTTCTTCGGCCCAACGCTTCAACTCCTCCGTCTTATTTCTGATTTTCTCGTCAATTTCCTTATCGGTAGGCTTTTTTCCCCAAAATATGTTCCAAAGCGTCTTAACAATTGTGTCAACAATCGACCTCCGGACTCTCTTTTTTCCGTTGCCCTCAGGGTGCAAACGCAGTTGAGGGTCTGCAGGCTTGCTTCCATTGAGTGGTGTGTTGTCGACGGGTTTTTGTCCCTCAGGGGATCCCTGAACCCACAGCGTCGTTCCAAATGTTCCATATGCAAGGACTGCTCCGATGAGGATCACCTAAGCAAAAGGTTAC